GAGCAGTTCCCTTTGATGTTTAGTTACGCGTTGACCATCAATAAGAGCCAGAGACAATTTTTGGAGAGGGATGGTGTATGCTTACGTTGTCTGATTTCACCTATGAACAACTTTACACCGCGGTCTCAAGAGTAGCGTCCCCGTCTTGATTGAAGTTTATTATATGTGAAAATGAAGAAAACCCAACCAAGAAGACTTTATATGTTGTTTTACATGGAAGTGTATAATTATGTGTAATTCTTTTATCTTCATTGACTTTTGTTAAAAATAATACTCCATGTATGCACTATTCGATCTGTCTCACAAAATTTCTATTTATTCCTTACTAACTGCATCCCGTGCAAAGCACGGGTGAAAATCTAGTAAGACAATAAGATTGAAACCAACTTTACGAAGGAATTGAAAAAGCAAAACGGTAAAGAGGCGGAAGAAATCGGATCTGAAGAAAGAGATAAATAAGCATCGGCCAGCAAGCAGCGAGTCAGGAACGGAAGGAAAGAAGAAAAGAGGAGGGGCGGAAAAGAAAAGAGAAGAAAAAGAAGACAGATCTGATTGGCGACACCTTCGCCGGCGGTACAGTTCGCTGCCCATATTCTCTTTCATCGTGGACTCACCTTCGCTTCAAAGATTTGATCTCTATTCTTCGACATTTGTTTTTCACAAAGAATTGGGACAGGAATGGTCTGAAAGGCGTCGGTCTAGAAAGAAACGAACAGAAGGGGGTAAATTTGGAACACATGAAAAAATTAGTCCTATTTAAGAGAAAAAAGTCAAGGTCTTATTTAAGTATATACTGAAAGTTGTGGTCCTATTTGACACCATTTCTCAAATTCATAGCTCTTTGACGGAATTGTCTTCATATCTAATACTTCGTACTTGGTATTTTATTGTCTGGGGGGCACAATTTTTATATTACGTCCTTTTCCTTTTAATTTTGTTGCAACATGGATAGTTTTACACACTATTCACATGTTATACTTTGACTATATGTTACGGAGTATTTATTAATGTATGTTTTTTTAAATATTGTTGAATTTGTCTCCTTATAAATATTCATAATATGACTTTTAATTATTTGTTAATAATAGAGAGTTAAATATAATGATAGTCAAAATTGTACATTAACAAACGTGAAAATGAGAATGTTGCGATTAAAAATTAACGAAGGGAGTATTAAGTACTAATACTTCCTCCTTCCCATTAGTATGTCAAACTTGAAAATGTCTCTTTGTTAAGAAGACGATCATAAAATTATAAAATTATTAAATTTTGCATTATTATTTTAGTTAAAATTGATCGAAGTTTACCATCCTTGACTGAAAAAATCAAAGATGACTCACTAAAATGAGAAAGAGGTAGTACTCAATTTTGTGGGCGGAAGTGAGGCACTTGTTCATGGGCCCTCCTAGGTCCTCGTGAAGGCCCCTGAAACGACCAGATAGTTATCTGGAAGGATGTAAATTGAGCTTATCTCACATTAATGAAAAGAGAGTGAACCTTCATACAAAGTCTTTTTTTGAATTGAACACGAGAACCCGCACGGGTAGCTCAGCTGGTCGAGTGGTGGGAAAATTGGAACTTTGACCAAGGTTCGAATCCCTGCATCGACCGGGTGGAGGTCACAGAACCTGAAATAAGGTTGGGCCTCTGGTGCGCACGGGGTAAAGGCCTACTGCCACTCTACTGACTGAGTGACCGTGACTTACATCCTCCCATGTGCTCTGCCAGGTCGGGGCGTGGGGGGTGCTTGGGGTCGGCGATTCAACCTTTCGGAACTACTTTGAATTGAACACGAGATTTCTCCTTTGTGGCACTGCCTACTTACCGGGTGAGCTACGCCCCTGGTTTGGCGCCATCATTCATCATTGTATTGTAGGTGATTGATGGATACTGTGTATGGGGTTGGCGCCATTGGCCGCCGCTCATGTACATGTTGCTGTAGGTTCCATCGGAGGATAGAGACATTTGATTTGGTAAAATCGCATAAACAGACCGTTGTTTTGTGGAAATGCAGACATAAAAACATTCCTCAATGGAACAGTCGGTGGCCAGTGGCTACAAAATACTTCAATTTTGGATTTCATATACGTACGGAGTATTAAAACTTCATTTGTTTCAACGTAGAAATTTAAATAACACTTATTTTCAAGATATCATATGTATATACTGATCCAAAATTTAAAAAAGAACAAGTTAAGTACGAAGTATATATATCGCCATATCGGTGTTCAAGAAAGCCTTTTGAACACATATTGTTGTATAAACTTTTACACGGGTCCAGAAAGAGTTCTTTCTTGTCTTTCTTAGACAAAACTGGTTTTGTCGGTGACAGACAAAACGTGTTTTGTCTATGACAAAAAGAATCTTCACAAACACGAGTAAAAATGTGTACAATAATAGTTTGTGTCCAGCAAGAATTGTTCATGAATATACTTCGTTCTTGAAACTGAATCTATTCTCTAATGGCATTTCTATCGGTCACTTGAGCTACCCAGCTACACCTACTGCCTTGTCACTGATAATTAAGAAAGAAAAGGCCGGTCGACGGCTGGAACATGTTGTCACAATGTTAGAATTGTGCTTTGTCGGTCCATCTAAACTGTGTCAAATTTTATGACACAAACTCGATAGATAATAGGGAAAATGAAAACTAATAATCCAACTTTTTAGTGGTCTTCTTACAATAGTCTCACATTTTTGTTATTCATGAACAATTCAACCTTTGCACTCCATCTTCATTCATTGGTCCCTGACCGGTTAATGACTTGCTATTCCAAGTAATTTTCTTATCTTTGCAAAATATTATCTTTGTGAAAGGTGAGATTTTTGGTATAATGGTTTGCAAAGATAAGAAAATAACCTGGAATAGCAGGTCATCAACCGGTAAGGGACCAATGAATGAAGATGAGGTGCAAAGGTTGAATTATTCATGAATAACGAAAAGGTGGGACTATTGTAAGAAGACCGTTAAAAGGTTGGATTATTAATTTCCATTTTCCCTAGATAATAAAGTAAAAATGGTGCATGTGGTTGTGATTTGTGTAGAAGAAAAAATAATATTAAAATCACATACTTATTGATTAAAAGGAAAAATGACAAAAAAATTTGGACAATAAAAAAAGAAAAGGTGACAAAGTTATAAGGGACGTAGAGAATACTATATAATAACTCTAAGGGCCTGTTTACTTTTGGCTTAATCAGAACACTGACTTAATCGTTCAACCATTAAATCACACGGATTATTACTTACTACCTAATTGAAAGCAAGACTTAATTATTCAGTCAAAAAACTAACTTAATCATTAACCTAAGTAAAAATATAGTATTCTTTTCCATTAAGACGTCTATTAAGAGAGGTTTTTACAAGAATATTACTAAAATAAAACTTATTTACACAAATATGACTATTCATTACTACAACGTAGTGTTGTAGTAACTTAAGTTCAAAACTTGAACATGAATTACGATAATTTCATTACTACTCTAGTAACTAGTCATATTATTGTAAACTATCTTTATTTTGGTCATATTTATGTAATTATTTCCTTTTAAGATGACTTTTCTGTTATTTTTTTAAAATCAATTATGAAATAGATAATTTATGCTAATAAATGAAATTGATTAGACTTTACAACTCAATAATAATACTAAATTGATTATTTGATTCAATTCAGACCTTCTATTCAGCACAGAAAATAATCGACCTCATATATAAATATCATTTAATCCAGACATGTGTCTTAATCGAGATAAACATCTTAATCAAGACAAGATTAGGACAAAAAAAAATTAAACAACCCTTAAATGTGTAACCTTTATTTTGGAGATGTCATATTACTTGGTTCTTTCCGGCATGATATACTATGGTCTATGATAGACACAAACGTCATTTTTAAAGGTTACATGTTCACGAATCACAATTGACAATAATAGTTTATTTGCGATCACCTTTGTTGAAAAACTTGCTACGTGAAAATTAATAAGAAAGTCACAACTATGCGATTATGACACAATATCGAATAAGACAATGGTAATAGAGTAAAAAAATCATAACCACATTATTATGTAGCTTACACTTTCAACTAATAATTCTAGGTCGGTGTGATGACCACAAGTAATAATGACATACTAAGAGCCTGGTTGAAGCTATTACAGAAAACTATTTTAGCTATTATTCTTACTTCCTATTATTTTTCTTAATTTGATTGATTAAATACTTGTATATTTTAAATATAGTTTTTACATAATTGACCAAATTCAGCCAATCAGCAAAAAATTACATAATTTGAATATATTCAACCCATTTAATCAAATTCAAAGCAAGTTTGGTATCACTGAAATTGACTGAATCAGCTGATTCTGATAAAATTTATAAAATTCTGGCTGAAGTGACTGTATCGACTGATTTTGTTGATTTATAAAAAATTACATTTAAAATATACGGGTATTTTATTAATAAATTAAAGAAAAAAATTACTCCCTCCGTCCCGCTAAGATTGTCCCATTTTACCTTTTCGGGAAGTCCCACTAAGATTGTTTCATACCAAATTTGGTAAAGTTTGTGTAGCTCTAAACCATTCTTACTTTATTCTTACTTTATCAATTTAATATCAACCACACAAACCCACTTTTCTTAATAATCGTGTCACCTTCTCTTGTCCCAATCTTAGTGGGACGGAGGTAGTATATGAAAAAATAGTTAAAATGGTATCTACGGACTACAGTCACTTCAGTCAGAAAAGTAACTCCAATTTTACTTTTTCTTATTACGTAGCATTACACAATTCAGCGCGCGAAATTTAAAGTTACATGTTTGGTTAAAAAGTTGATTGATAAACCTGATAAACTGAAAAAACAGAGTCACCAAACGAGCTCTCAATCTTATACGTAGTATGAGACATGAGTTGATACACAAGGGAAAAGTATCGATTCATTATTAGAGCTGATCTGCCGTCTGCGTATTAAAGGTTGAGACTTGCCGTAACTAAACTGAATTGTTCGTTCAAGATCTTTATTTGTGGTTTTTTGTATTTAGAATAAAGTTAACGAAAACAATTATGATGATTATCTTAGTAAACATGATTACATGAAATAAGTTCCATATAATAGTTGTTATCATGACAAAGAAGATAATATTGTCTTCATTTTGGTTCTGAGCCAGTTAATTATTTCCTTTATGCTCCGTATATATTACTCCGTAATAATTAGGAACTTACTCAAAGGGAAAGCTAATGCACAAGATTTTTATTTATTTTATGTTAAGTGAATCTTGGACATCAATTTCTTGGCTTGATGTTTGCTAGCAGTGGATAAAGTTTGTAGGAAGTAAGACCAACTGTAGCAACGTTCTCTTCTTCCTCTTTCTCAAGCCTCCATTCGAATTCCTGTATCAATCTCGCGATTGCTAGGCTGGAAATCGTCATTGCCTGTAGAGCACCTGCACATGCCCGCTTACCCCCTCCGAACGTCATCGTCTTGAATAAATCATTCTGTTCATACTTTCCTTCAAGAAACCGTTCCGGCTTCCACTCTTCGGGGGTCTCCCATAGTGCCTTCTCCATGTTACATGCATAAATGTTTATAGCAATCTGCATAAAAGCAGTTAATAAACAACATTATACGGAGTAGCAGTTAAGAGGCCCTTTGGCAGCCTTTTTTAGCTAATAATCAGCAAGTTTTTTTCCCAATCAATAATTTCTTGAATCAGCAGATGAATTGGATAATAATGAGAAAGTGTAACATTGAAGGTAATTATCGGCCGAAATGGTTGAAGTGGCTGAAGAAGACCAACTTAGCCATCCTTTATTTTATTTATCAAATATTTTAAAGTATAAACATTTCACATTTTAGCAATTTCAGCCCCATTTATTATATTCCATGTAATAAATAGACACTGTCTGTAATGTTCAAATCAAACCGGACCGGACCTAATCAGAAATGTAAAATATATTACGCCCGATAACATTTTCACATGAATGAATATTAAGGTTTGGAATTCTACCCCTAAAAGATCAAGCTAACAGGAGTAACCTAAAAGGCTGAAACCTTAGGTGTGACTTGTGAGTTTGCATCTTTATATTTGAGCGGTGTTACTAAACCAAGAGCTTAAATTAATAGTTATACTCTACGCTTATTATGTCTATTTACCTGGGTTCCTGCAGGAATATGATAACCTCCAAGTTCTACATCCTCGTGCACATACCGAAGAGGAATAACAGGAACAGGGCCATGCTTTCTCAATGTTTCATGAAATATAGCAGATAGGTAAGGAAGCTGGCGCAGATGGTCTTCTGTTACTTTGTCAGATCCGCATACACCGTGAATTTCATGAAACAATTTATTCTACACAGTGCAACAAAATTTATAAAGCCCTTCAATCTTCATTATATGTAATAATATTTTATGAAACAGACATGACATTAGGGAGAAAAAAACAGATGGAAATGGAGTTACCTGTCGCTCAGGATCTTTGGCTAGTTCATACATAGCCCATTCTGTGGCCACCACAGTTGTATCCGACGTTTCTATAATTTCCTCCCACACAATCATTTCAATTTGTTTCTCGGTCAATGTCTTTCCTTCTGACAGCAAGTAGTCAAGAAAACAGATTATTTCCTGTCATTTAAGGCATAATGTGGTGAAAGAGTCAGAGATAAAACAAATCACAAAGGAAGAAATAATAGTGATTGTTAATGGTGATCTACATTTACATTATATGTAAGTTTTAGGGGGGGAAATTATCATGGGATAAACTGAAGGCACGGCTTGTTTGACTGGAGTCATTTGGAGGGAAGGAGAGCAGATGGTTGAATTTGTTTTCTTGGTTTATTTCTATTAAAATTTCTTATGTCAGAAAATAACTACTTCGCAAATGCTTAGTTAAACCACATTTCATATTAGTTTTCGTCTATGCTTTCTTTTGAAACATCTTAATAAATGTTAGGAAAAAAATCATAAAAAAATACTGCCCCTCACCTCAGAAATCGCCAAATGCAACAAGGCGGTTTATGATGTATGGAGTAGTTAAGTAACAATAAGTAACATTAGTTTTAGCATATAAAGATTAGTACAAAGTGATGTATGAGCATTATTGGTACAAAGTGATGTATGAGCATTATTAGTACCCTCTCCTTTCCAAAAATGTACTGTCGGAGTATAATGTACCAACCATTGGATTGTCGTCACGAGTTTTCATAATTTCAATTCACACTTCTCCATAACCACACATATACACGCAGTTACAATCCATTAGTTGAAATACAAGATAGTTTCAAGTTTAGAAATTGTTATTAAAAAAAGTCTCATTATCAGCTAAATATGAAATTTAATAAAATGAGATATAAGACTTTGAGCTCCTCATACTATCAGGTTGACTTTGTTGACTTTTAAGATAGAACCTGTCTTAATAGAAATAGAAAAATTGATACTTCGATAAAAGACTTTGTACTACCTTCCCTGATTCTATACGTTTTTTCTGTTCCTTTATGAGTGCCTTCATTACTGCATCCCTACGAAGCTGTATTACCCGAACTTTCTTCTCGAACCTTCCATTAGGAGCCCATTTGAGATATGGAAAGAAATCTCTCCAGTCAACCTCAATTGCACCCTCCATACAATCTACCACTAGGAACTTATACATCATATCCCTTGACACTGTACTTGCAAGCTCATCTACATATACAGAATCTGAATCCTCTCCGATTCCCTGAAATTTAATCACAACTGCTTTTAATATAAAATGTGGTGTCTGGTTAAATGTTAAACCTCCTATGGAGTTGAAAATGGAGCGAAATGTTAATAACTCACTTGCTTTAGTGCCAATCTGAAAAGTTCAGACTGAAAATATTTCCGAAGGTTCACTGCTTCCTGAGGACATTTCTTGAGTTCATCTTGTAATCCACAACAAACGTTGTCTATTAATATGTCTCTATGGATGCGATATTGTTTCTGCAATAATACGTAAGAAGTTCATTTCCAAGTCTTAAGAAACCAACATAGAAGATACATAAAAGAAATACAACAATAATAACAACATCCAAGCCTTGCTCCAAAAAATATTAAAAAATATTATGAACAAAATAGAAGTAATAGACAAAAAAATGACTTTTGATGCACAATGGTTATAGTGATTAATTTGGTGACTAGATAGTCTGTTTTATATTGCAGTGACCTATGACTGTGGCAAGATTTTGACACTGACTATAGGAAGCATGTTTTCACTTTTAATATTCTTGTTTATGAATTTAATTTCAATATTATACTTGGAAAAACCCAAAAATTAAGAAGTTGTGTTTAATTGTTTTTAACCCGTAGCTTATACAGTTGTAGCAATTACATTCAATGGTAGTGGTTTTTGTCTTTGTCTTATAAGAGCCAGGGACTAAAACCAATAAGAAAAAGGGTTGACTTCAGCAAAAATTGAATCAAAGAGGCTAAAATAGCAATTTACACTTGTTATAATGGTGTACAAAAGCAGACTAGATGAAATTATCAGTTATTGTAATATGGTAATGTGAAAAGAAAAACCTGAGCACTTGCGCCCAAAACCGCGGTCAGCATATGCCGCTTAACTGTTTTATGGAAGTCTCCATAATCACTCATTGCAACCATACTTTTTTGATGAGTGAGCAGATCCAGTGCACTTGTAAGCTTTCTTGTTGAGATGGAAGAGTGCTTGCTTATCATAGCCTAAAACAGTCCAGCAGAATGAGTAATGCTAAATGGCTAGAATTTAGACATTGGAGGGGGTGGGGTGGGGGGGGTGGGGGTAAAATGGCCATTTTGTACCATCATGAACCATTTATGATGAATAAAATATCACCTTTTTCACATTAATAACTTTATTCCAATTCAATAAAACAATAATATTACAACAGTGTCATTTCTAACAATCAAGTTTTTTCCTAGTTTGGCATTTAATATTAGGAAAGAACTTGATTGCTTATCAGGTTAGGAAATATCTTCAATATGTCATAACATTCAGGCAATATTTGGGTCCTGGAAAATGCTATGGAATGGAAAGAAACCATCAAGGAAAGTTATTTTCTTATGTGTGGATTTATCACAGGAAATATGAAGGACAATGAACAAATGATTAATATTTTGAATATATTTATACTCCACAGTAACTCCAGTGTTGTTTGGATTGCTTAATATTCATAAAAGTTAATAAATCATATGAATTCAAACAAGAACCAAAAAGATAATCAGATTAACCATTGTTTTCTGTTATTACTCATTTTCTTTCCGAGACGCCTCTAGCTTTCCAAACAAATCCGAGGTAATTGTCAGTAAGGACAGTATAATTTAAATGAAATCAAAGAACAAGATTCATCATAATGGAGTAAGACTGTAAGGGAGCAGAATGAGATTACCTCCTTTGCAAGCTCAGTGGAGTTGAGAACAACTAAGGTGGTAGCCCCTGTTTTGATGGAATAGATTGGTCCATATTCCTCAACCCAATTTAGGAAAGTCTTGTGAGGTTTCTTCTCTTTTAACTGCAGTAAATTCCCAAGCACAGGTAATCCTGGTATAGCTGCACAAGAAAAAACTTGGGTAAAATCTAAACAATCCACACAAAAAGAAAGCAAAAAAAAGGAAATTTACCTGGGGGGAGATTACTGGGAGATTTCTTTTTATGATCATCAAAAAGCTTGGGTAAAATCACAGCAAGAGCAATAACAAGTCCAACAGTTAGGAAAGTCCCCAATGACCAATCTTGCATTATTTTGATAACTGCATCCATTGATAACACCCTTTCTTCTACCATTTTACCTCAGTGCCTCTCTTCCACTTTCAAAGTATTTTCTGAATTTTGGGCATCTTTTCATCAGCTTCTGTAAGATGATAAGGGTGGGGCTTGGGTGTGTGGGTGGAAAGGCAAGCAGGTACTGCGCATGATGGGACAAAGTAATCAATTGCGGATCATTGGGAGGAAAAGTAACTTTATGGGTGTTTTGTGTTTTGTTTTTTCCCAGATGATATGCAGTGTATTTAAAAGGGGTTCTGGGGCCAGATAAAAATGTTACTGTATTTAGTTATGATTAATAAGGTAGGATCATAATCATAAAACAAACCATTTAATAATCATGAAAAAAAAATCGGCCCCCAAATGGAACTAAAAGTAGCCCGAAATTTCACATTAGGACTATACTCCTTTTATTCCCAAAATATGGGTAATATATGTCTCTTCTTTATTCTACCATCAACCTATAATTTCTAATAGATTTATTTATTAATACAAAAAATCATAGTTTTATTTATAATAAAAACATAAAAAATCATTAAAATATTTATAAATTAATAAAAAAATTGGGAAAAAATAAAATTAAAAAAACTTAAAAAACAGTATTTTAAAAAACTTTAAAAAATCTAAAAAAAATAAAATAAAATACCTAAAAAATATTTAAAATACTTAGGCCACTACCTCTACATCCTCAACCGCCCAGCACCACCACTTTCGATCGCCGGGAAAAAATGTCATCTTGTGTAAAAAAATGCCTCATTTATATGAAAATGCCATAAAATGACATGTTTACTCTTTGGAAATATCCAATTTTCTTTTCAAAATCGACATCACGATGACATTTTCCCCAACTTGGCAATCTTTTCCAGCGATCGGAGATGGCGGTGCTGGAAGGTGGCTGAGGTGGTGGTTGAGGTCTGTATATTTTTTATTTATTTTTTACGATTTTTTATTTTTTTATTTAATTTTTTTTATGTTTCATAATGATTATTTGAAAAATCCTATTAGTAAGAAAAGTTAGTCCTATTTTGGGAATTTAAACATTAAACTCCTACTTTTGTAATTATCCTTTTATTCAGTCCTAAAAAAATACATATGTGGTTTGGCTTAACTTTGTCTGGTTGGCCCCCAAAATTTTGAACAAATTACAGTATCAAACCAGACTAAATCAGACCAGATTTAAACGGGTCACACCTCACACCTTAATAGAGAAGGGAGAAACGATGTTTTGAATATATATTCTTGATGATTAGAATGAGTTACAATGAGTTACAATGGCTGCTATTTATACAAGTAGTAATCTCATCTATATGGTAAGTAATAATACAATATTAAATGATAATGATATGTAACGGCTAATATGATATGTAACAGCTAATCTATTTTAAACTCAATTATTCCTTTCCTTCAATACGCCCCCGCAAGCTAGGTATTCTGTCACTCCCAAGAATCCTGAGCTTGTCTCTGAGAAGAATAAAACGTTGCCGAGGGAGCGGTTTGGTGAGGGCATCAGCAATTTGTTCAGAAGATGGGATGTGATGAACTTGAAGAAGTCCGCGTTGAACTCGCTGCCGAACAAAATGAAAGTCAATAGCCACATGCTTCATACGAGAGTGGAAGACAGGATTTGCAGAAGACGTTGTAGCACCTTTGTTATCACAAAGAAGGAGCGGGGGAGAGGGGAGCGGATGCCGCAACTCACGTAAGAGAGACTCAATCCAAATAATTTCTGAAGCAGCAGTAGAAAGAGCTCGATATTCAGCCTCTGTGGAGGACTTAGCAATAGTGCGCTGCTTTACTGACTTCCAAGATACAAGAGACTCCCCGAGAAAGATGGCATAAGCACTAGTAGATGAGCGATCGTCGGGATTCCCTGCCCAGTCGGCATCAGCAAAGGCACGGAGAGAGGGAGAGGTGCTGCGACCAAGGAGGAGGCCATGAGAGGCAGTGCCTTGCAGATAGCGCAAGAGACGTTTGAGAAGCTGCCAGTGATTAACTGTAGGTTTATGCATGAATTGAGCCAATTTATTGATAGCAAAAGCAACGTCTGGACGTGTTAGATTCAAGTATTGAAGAGACTCGAGAACCTGGCGATAGAGAGTGGCATCACAGGAGCCGGAGCTATCAAACAGAGATAAGGAAGCAGAAGAAGCTAACGGTGTAGCCACAGGATTAGCCTCATCCATTTTTAATATCTTCAACAAGTCCATAATGTATTTGTGTTGATCAAGAAGGAGTCCACCTGGAGTAGGAGTAACCTGCATTCCCAAGAAATAGTGTAAGGCGCCCAAATCCTTAATGGAGAACTGCTGGGCCAATGAGTCAATAGTCTGACGTATTAAGGCCGGTGTGGAGCCAGTGACAATGATATCATCCACATAAACCAACACATAGATATAAGAGTGATGGGAAGAAAATATGAAGAGGCTAGCATCAGCAACTGACTGATAAAAACCAAGTGAGAGAAGAAATCCACTAAGAGACTGATACCACACCCGAGGTGCTTGTTTAAGGCCATAAATAGATTTCCGAAGGCGACACACAAACCCGGAACCATCATTAAAGCCAGGTGGTTGCTTCATGTAAACTTCCTCCTGAAGGGTCCCATGTAAAAATGCATTGTTCACGTCCAACTGGTGCACCGGCCAGCCATGAGAAAGAGCAATAGTCAAGACAACACGAATAGTGACCGGTTTTATGACCGGGCTAAAAGTGTCTGAATAATCAATCCCAGGGCGCTGGTGAAAACCCTTAGCCACTAAGCGAGCCTTGTAGCGATCCAATGAACCATCCGGTTTATACTTCACTGTATAGACCCATTTACAACCCACAATATTTTGACCAGTCTGAGCCGGAACAAGATCCCAAGTTCCCTGTTTCACCAAGGCATCAAATTCTACTGTCATAGCCTTCCTCCATTCTGGTACCTGCATAGCTTGAGAAGCACAAGTGGGAATTATGTGATGAGGTAAAGGGTTTTGAATAGCAATATGGGCTTGTTTGCGGGGTCGGAGGGTCATTGGGTGGGTACGTTGGGGTGGTGGGTTATTGAGTGAGGGAGGCGAGGTAGTAATATCAGGGTTGGTAGATGGGTGAGGAGCGGCGACAAGAGGATTAGGTTTAGGACGGCGTTGGTAAGTAATAACTTGTGGTGGTGGGGGTGTAGGGGGTGTGGGGTGTGGGTCACTTGGGGTGGAAATAGTGGGTGACGTACCGGGAGATTGTTGTTGAGCCGAGGTATGAGTGGGAGGAGACGCCCCCGTAGTCACAGTGCCCGAAATAGGAAGATAGGACAGGGAAGGTTGAAGCCAGAGATCGACATCACTAGTGATATTTGAGGCTGGGGGGGTAGGTGTAGAAAAGGGGAAGACTGACTCATCAAACACGACATGCCTGCTAATAAAGACCCTGTTCGTGGTAAGATCAAGACAGCGATAAGCACTTTGCTGGTCACAATACCCAAGAAAAACACATGGTTTAGAGCGTGGTTCTAACTTATGAGTGGTATAAGGACGTAACCAGGGGAAACAGATACACCCAAAAATGGCAAGTTTATTGTAATGAGGAGGCTGTTGAAAGAGTTTTTCGTAGGGAGAGCAGAAGTTAAGAGAGAGAGCAGGTTGTCTATTAATAAGATAAACGGCTGTAAGGAAAGCATAAGACCAATATTTAAGAGGCATGGATGCATGGTGAAGTAGGGTGATACCAGTTTCCACAATGTGACGATGCCGACGTTCAGCAAAGCCATTGTGTTCTGGAGTGTGGGGAGGAGTGAGTAAGTGAGAGATGCCACATGTTCGGAGAAAGTTCCCTAAAGTAATGTATTCACCGCCCCCATCAGAGTAGACTGTTTTAATTGTTCGTTGAAAAAAGTTTTCTACAATCTTTTTAAATTGTTGAAAAAGGGACGTGACTTCAGACTTATGAGTCATCGTGTAAAACCAAATGTACTTGGTATAATGATCAATAAAAATAACATAGTAACGAAAGCCATCAACAGATGTAACACGAGCAGGGCCCCAAACATCAGTATAAATTAAATCCAGCGGTCCTGAACTCGTAAGAGATGATGTTGCAAAAGGCAATTTATGGCTTTTATTACTAGCACACGAGACACATAAGGAAATATCTGTTGCAACATTTGGAAAAGAAATACCTAAGGAGGAGAGAATTTTTTTAGTGATAGGGAGGGCAGGATGTCCTAGACGACAATGCCATTTATTAAGGGAATATTTTTGTGTAACATGAACAGAGGGGGACAGTGGAGGGGGCACATCTGGTAAGCTGTAGACGTCTCCTTCATTCATACCCCGTAACAAAATTGCTCCCGTTCGCCGGTCCTTAACAAGACAAAAAGAAGGATGAAATTCAATTAGGACATCATTATCACGACATAATTTGGCAACAGAAATTAAATTGGTGTGAATAGAAGGAACAAAAAGGGTATTGGGGAGAGAGAGAGTGAAGGGTCATATGCCCAACTTGTGCTATCACAAGTCCTTTACCGTTACCAATAACGAGTGAGTCAGTGCCAGTATAATCGGATGCCAAGGTAAGATTGTTCAGGTTGTTGGTGACGTGATTGGTGGCTCCAGAATCAAGTAGCCAACCATTGCGATTGGTGATAGCTGCATTGACTTGGGGAGGATAAGCCTGTTGTTCAAATCGATGCCAACAATTGAGAGCAGAATGATTTGGTTTGCCACAAATTTGACACAAAAGGGCCGGCCCAAAATTACCATTCCCAGGGGTGTTTCGGGCTGATAGATTATTGTTGGAATTTCTAAAATTATTCTGCCCACGTCTGTTGGTGTTTCTGGGCTGACTTCCACCATTATAACGGGCTGGATTAATTTGACGATTGGGCTGGTTGGTAATGTGGGCAGATGGTCCAGGGCCCAATATAGAAGATGTAGAAGTCGGGCCTGGTCCTCTGCGTGCAGCAAGTGCGACCGACTCCCCAGCTATTTGACGAGGCTGTTCTTCAGCGATTTTGGCAGCGGTATTAGCGGTGACCACCGTCGCTGAAGATTCCAGAGTCTCCTTCCGTCGCAGGGTTGCCTCGAAGCCAGTAAGCAGGGTATAGATGTTGCCGAAGTTATTATCCCCACAGGTACGGATGGAGTTTGTGAAGGATTCAAACTCAGGTCTGAGTCCTTCCAAGGCTTGAAGGACGAAGTCATCATCATCAACAGGCCGGCCGGCCTTAGCTAGTTCGTCGGCGAGTGTACGGAGATGATGAAGATACTCACCGACTGCCTTAGATCCCTGTCGAGTATGGCGGAAGATATCCTTCATATTGCGGATTTGAGCTGCTGACCGGGTCCCATAAAGTTGCTCCAGAGTTTTCCATACCGCAGCAGAGGTACGGGCAGACCCGACCAAGGGTTTGCACGCCGAGCCCAAGGAGGAGACAAGAGCATGCCGGAGGAGACGGTCTTGCCGATTCCACCGGAGATGCTCTGCGGCGTCACTGGGAGGTGGTGGAACAGCACCATCACTGATGTACTGGTCAAGATGAGAGCCTACCAAGAGATCAAGGACTTGGTCACGCCATATCAGGTAATTCGTCCCATCAAGTTTTTCTGGGAAGTGGCTAGGGTTGAGTATGATCAAGCCATCTGGGGTGAGGGGGTTGACAACTGTGGTAGAAGGAATGGTAGAAGAAATGGCAGGCTGCCCATCTGGGGAATTTGTACGGTCCCCTTGCTGAGGGGGGTCGTCTGCCGCCATAGGGGAAGAGGGATGGCTGGTTAGAGCTCGGGAGGCTCTGATACCATAATAGAGAAGGGAGAAACGATGTTTTGAATATATATTCTTGATGATTAGAATGAGTTACAATGGCTGCTATTTATACAAGTAGTAATCTCATCTATATGGTAAGTAATAATACAATATTAAATGATAATGATATGTAACGGCTAATATGATATGTAACAGCTAATCTATTTTAAACTCAATTATTCCTTTCCTTCAATACACCTGACCAGATCATACCAGACTTTTACAAATTACAGATCAGACCGGACCAGATAATTTCAATTCAAAAGAAAACATCCTTAATTATTATACTTCGTAAATTATACTAGTACGTAGTAATCAAGGGCGGCTTGAGCAATTTGGAGGCCCTAGACGAAAAACATTTATATTTACATATCATATTAATGTGATTTGTATAGAAGAAAAGCCATAAAAATGAGATAAATTGGATAAAAATACACCAGAAACAAACCATACGTAAAGCAAACAATATAATATGAACATCAAATGATTATGTTTTCATTACTAAGAACAACACAAAATATTCCATGTATTTATCATAATGTAAATATAAGAGATTAGTTAAATTGCCAATCTAGAACACTCAAGAAGAATATGCTCATATAACCCAATGATTTATAGATTGTTTCATATTTACGGGCTTAGAACAAATCATTATTCCAGTATTCCTTCACAGTAGCATAGGGAAACACTTTGAAACGAAAGATGGTTGACCCTACTTTACCCATCACTGTTCAACCTGATTCCATTGTCTTTGCCACCCTGAAAGGCTTTTTAAAGCCCCTGCTTGTGCTTAGAAACTACTCCTATCATAGTTCTGTCATTTTGCTTAGGTTTTATAAGTTTTGCATAGAAAATACTCCTATCATAGTTAATTGCCTCATATAGGACTAAAAGAGGGGAGAAATTCTTAAATAGGACCATATCTGTTTTATAAGAAGGGGCATTTCAAAATCGGCATAAGCAGAAGGGCTTCACCGCTTCACTCTATTTATTTTTAGACAAGCAGAAGCAATTGATAACATAAAAAGGCTTTTTAATTATAACCAAACTTGAAATGTATCAAGCTGCAAGGGAAAGCAATCAACAAGAAATTACAAACATCCAGAAGTACTGACAGAGTAATGAAGAATAGTCAAAGCGAAATGGTGAATATCAGAAGGCGGCGGACGGAAATTTACACTTTCTGGGTGGCGTCGCCGCATCAAGGCCCTAAGAGAAGTCGTTGATATTAGAAAGTGGTGGACAGATGGTTGTATTCCGGTTTGAGTGTTTATTAAAACCGATAAGGCATTGCCGATAAGCTGGAGCCAGTTATTCATGCCGCCGGCGCGAACACAGTGGCCCTATTAGAATTTGAGGCCCAAGGCAGGCAGGCAACTGGCCCTAAAGCGGCATGAAACATTATTTAGAGCCCGTTTGGTAGCACCAAAATCGGCTGTTTTGGCTGATTCTGCTGAAATTTATGATATTCTGGCTAGAGTGGCTGTTTTGGCTTATTCTGCTGATTTAAGAAAAAAATATTTTAAAAATATATTTTATTAATAAATTAAAGAAAAAATTATATGTAAAAATAGCTAAAATGGTCCTCTACAGTAACTTCAGCCAATACAGCCAGAAAAGTAACTCCAAGCTTACTTTTTCGGCTTATTACACAATTCAGCGCGCGAAAGTAAAAGTTACGTGTTTGGTGAAAAAGCTGGCTGATAAGCCTGATAAGCCGAAAACAGAGTTCTCCAAACGGGCTCTTAGAATTACTCTCTCCGTCCCAATTTTTGAAGGGTAATTCTATACACACTCACTAATTTACTTTGTGCAGCGCCCAATGAAACACTATGCTCACTATTTAAAACTTTTTTAAAAGAGATACGTAGTGCAATGCTAGGAGAGTTTTCTAAATCCCCACCACCAATTCTCAATCTACGCCTCAAAATTGCAGACACATACAAAAGATAGAGTTTTTTTTCGTATGAAGGGTAATTAATTAAGTATTTACGAAAATAGGGTCGAGTTAAAAGTATTTACGGATATACTGTTGGGCTTAACCCTGGTCGGGATAAGTCGCCAAACCGTTTGGCGACTTATAAGTTTAAAAAAAAAGGGGCAAAATTGTCTTTTGAGACCCGCTGAATTTTACGACTATCGTGTCCGCAGGTTGCCCGCACAGGGGTTAGTCTTTGAAATTTTTCATGTATTATCATGTATACCCCTGCACTATTGAAAATATATTCTTACACCATTCCCTATCCTTTAATGAGAGTTTGATAACTCCTAATCATGTGTAGCAAAATTATAGATTTAATCGTGTAAATTTACTCACTTGCAGATTTGATCTGGTAACACATAAATTTATCCGCATTATGAATTTTTCCACCAGAAAGTACAATGTAACAAAAAATTTGACAACGTCTTTTCTAGTATGTTTTTTTGTCGTAATGTATGTTTTCCAATGAAGAGTGGTCTTCATGTCAGGCCGGCCTGACGGGATGCTCCGTCCGGCCGAGCCCGTTTGGGAACCTTCCCGGTGGAATTTTTTGATAAAATTTTTTGAGCATGTTCCTCATCAAGTCTAGTTTGTCCATACCAAATTTCAGCTCACAATTCGATCGGGAAGGCATTCAAATCATTTTTTGAAGTTGACTGCGTCAAAATATACATATAAAACTGCAGTCAATTTCAAAAAATTATTTGAATGCCTTTCCGATCGAATTTTGAGCTGAAATTTGGTATGGACAAACTAGCCTTGATGAGGAACATGCTCAAAAAAATTCATCAAAAAATTCCACCGGGAAGGTTCCTAAATGGGCTCGGCCGGACGGAGCATCCCGTCAGGCCGGCCTGACATGAAGATTTGTCTTCCAATGAAATAGTGGTGAATATAGACATACTTATTAGTTATATATAGTCTTATAGAACTGCATCAATATGAGAGTATATTTATAAGACTAATAGCATTTTAATGACCTTGACATTGTAGGCATTTTACCCACACTTTTGTAAATAAATTTTATTTCAATCTTATTTTTTTAAAAATCTCATATTATATACTTGTGTATTTAAATTTATATCATACTACCGTAATTAAATTATATTCCTAAATTTATAAATTTTACTCCCTGTGCCCCCTAACTTTGTCCCGTTTTACTTTCTTCGTCCGTCACATTAAGTTTGTCCCTAGAGGTGGAAACAGACCAGGTCAGGCTTTTGCCTAAACAGGCCGGACCTGTTTTAGAATGTATAGGCCTGAGCGTGGCCTGTTAACTGTTAAAGGCTTGTTTTTTTTGCCTGAGCCTGGCCTGTTTAAAAGTTTGGCATGTCCTGAAGCCTGCTTAGTAGGCCTGTTTGCCAAAAGTTGAAAACACTTTTAATAGTTGAAAGTACTCTCCCATTGGCTTCTGTCTTTTATATTAAATCTTAATTGCTTAATTTAAGCATAAGTTGAACTGTCACTTGAAAGCACCCATTTCAGATATTTTGCCAAAAGTTGAAAACACTTTTTTAAGATTCTTGCGAACACTCCGTTAGTCTTTAATCTTTACTTAATTATCACCAACCTCCCTTGAGATTTCATGCATTATCATGTAGACCCCTGCACTTTTGAAAATATACTCTTACACCATTTCCTATCCTTTAATGAGAGTTCGATAACTCATAATCATGTTTAGCAAAATTATAGATTTAATCGTGTAAATTTACTCACTTGCTGATTTGATCCGGTAACACATAAATTTATCCACATTATGAATTTTTCCACCAGAAAGGACATTGTAACAAAAAATTTGACAACGTCTTTTCTAGTATGTTTTTTGTCGTAATGTATGCTTTCCGATGAAATAGTCGTTAATATAGACATACTTATTAGTTATATATAGTCTTATAGAACTGCATCAATATGAGAGTATATTTATAAGACTAATAGCGCCTATAGCGGACAAAATAAATAAATACAAGCATAAAAAACAAACCTCTATTACTTTTAAAAGTTCAAAAGTATCCATTAGATTATATAAATCTTGGTGGAATATACATCTCATCCCAGATATTTTTTCCCACGTGATAAAAGACTATTAGCTTCAAGTCTTCAACGCTTAAAATAAAAATAATTTTAAAGTTTGAATGAACATTATTTAGAATTACAGAGTAATTTTTTTCACGCGAGAAAAAAAATCCGACATGTGATGTATATTTCACCAAGATTTCTACAATCCAGAAATAATTTTGAACTTTTAAAAGTAATACAGTTTTGTTGTTTAAAATTCATTCTTTTCAATTGTATTCATTATTAATTAGTTCTAAAAATTTACTCTCATGTTGATATACTTGGGTAAATAATGAATATGTCTATATTAAGAATTATTTCATCGAAAGTACACATTCCCGCAAAAGCTCATACTAGATAAGACGTCGTTAATTTTTTCGCCACAAGGTGTACTTTCTCGTGGAAATATTCTTAATGCGGATAAATTATTTGTCACCAAATCATATATGCAAGTGGGTAAATTTACAGGACTAAGAAGCTGTTCCGTTCGTCTTAATCTTATTACTTATTCCTTAATCTTATTTTATTCAGATCAGATCAGATCAGATCAGATCAGAAAGATTCAGATCAGATCAGATCAGATCAGAAAGATTCAGATCAGATCAGATTAGATCAGAAAGATTCAGATCAGATCAGAAAGATTCAGATCAGATCAGCAACATTCAGATCAGATCAGAAAGATTCAGACCAGATCAGACCAGATCAGAAACATTCAGATCAGATCAGAAACATTCAGATTAGATCAGATCAGATCAAAAATTCAAACATGATTTATCACTTTTATTAATATATTAATTATGATTATTATATTATAATTATTGTTAATAATATTAATATATTAATATAATAATATTATTAATAATATAATAATAATAATGTTAATAATATAAAATTATTATTATAATATAATATAATATAATATAATATAATATAATATAATATAATATAATATAATATAATATAATATAATATAATATAATATAATATAATATAATATAATATAATATAATATAATATAATATAATGTAATGTAATGTAATGTAATGTAATGTAATGTAATGTAATGTAATGTAATGTAATATAATATAATATAATATAATATAATATAATATAATATAATATAATATAATATAATATAATATAATATAATATAATGTAATGTAATGTAATGTAATGTAATGTAATGTAATGTAATGTAATGTAATGTAATGTAATGTAATGTAATGTAATGTAATGTAATGTAATATAATATAATATAATATCATATAATATAATATAATATAATATAATATAATATAATATAATATAATATAATATAATATAATATAATATAATATAATATAATATAATATAATATAATATAATATAATATAATATAATATAATATAATATAATATAATATAATATAATATAATATAATATAATATAATATAATATAATATAATATAATATAATATAATATAATATAATATAATATAATATAATATAATATAATATAATATAATATAATATAATATAATATAATATAATATAATATAATATAATATAATATAATATAATATAATATAATATAATATAATATAATATAATATAATATAATATAATATAATATAATATAATATAATATAATATAATATAATATAATATAATATAATATAATATAATATAATATAATATAATATAATATAATATAATATAATATAATATAATATATTTATAATTATAATTATAATTATGATTTACAATGTAATTATAATTATAATCATCATTATTATTAATATGATTGTTGTTCTTGTTGTTATTGTTGTAATTATTATTACTTCGGAGTAATTATATATTTAAATTAGTAATTATAGAAATAAATATTATAATTATAATTACAATAATAATTATAAAATTAATTATAATTAAAAATATAATTACATTTATAATTGTATATGTACTTATAATTAGTGTAATTAGTATAATTATTATAATTTTAAATTTAATTTTAATTATTTTTTTTTATAATTATGATTATAATTGTAATTTTATTTAAGTTATATTTTTAATTACAATTATAAATCTAATAATTATAATTATAATTACAATTATAGAAATATTCAAATCAGATCAGAAAGATTCAGATCAGAAGAATTCAGATCAGATCAGAAACTTTCAGATCAGATCAGAAACATTCAGATCAGATCAGATCAGATCAGCAACATTCAGATCAGTTCAGCAACATTCAGATCAGATCAGAAAGATTCAGATCAGATCAGAAAGATTCAGATCAGATCAGATCAGATCAGAAA